CCCAGCGTCGCTGATAGAGTGAGTCTTGGGGGGGCTGACTTCCTAGGGACACGCAGCGCTGATCTGACCGGAGCCGGGCCTTCCCGACCCAGCGAGCCCAGTGTCTGATCAGCCCTCCGTGCGAGGCAGGTGCTCACGCGGTGCCATCCAGCTGCCCCCTCATGGGCGCCCAGGCGTGCCCGCACCCTGCAGAGAGCACGCCTGCCCATCGCTAGGGGACCCGGTAACGCTGGGGAACGTCCAGTCCACCTCCTGACTTGGCAGAGAAATGGCTGCAGCCGGAGAGGGAGGTGACTGGCGCCAGGTCGCAGGGCCAGGCTGTCCCCGCCATCGCCACCCTCGTGAGCAGGGGTTTGGCCAGGAGTTTCCTGGCTGCACCGGGAGCCCTGAGGTGACCGTGTGTTTCCCCCTTTAAGTCACTGCTGTTGCCAGTCCCTCTGGGTGTTCCTTGTGGCCTGCGGGCACATCGGGGTGACCGGGGCCACATCGGGGTGACCAGGCCCAGGGCGGGGCACAGAGCGGCCTGTGAGTGAGGCCCGGCCAAGGTGAGGATGGCCTTGCCAGGGAGGCTGCAGAACAGCGCGAAGACCCGAAGCAACTCTGCACACGGCCAGCAGGTGGCGCTCCGCTCCGCCCAGCCCGCAGGCCGGGCACCCGGTAGCAGGTCCCCTGAGCGCATTCTCCCTACTGGCGCCCCGGAGATGGGCCGGTGCCTCTACCTGGGGTCGCTCAGAGCATCTTCCCTGATGTCTCCCCGTCCCCCCCTCATCCCCCCAGGCCTCGGAGTTGGCGGAGAGGAAAAGTCTAGAGAAAAAACAAGAACAAGAGGACGACCTGGCCCACATCTCCAACCTGCTGCGTGGGGACCTGCTCTCTGAGGACCCGCAGCAGGCGGTCAGCTCCTTCGGGCCCCACCGCGTGGTCCCCGACCGCTGGAAGGGCATGAGCCAGGCCCAGCTGGGGCACATCCGCCTGGTGCAGCAGCAGCAGATGCAGGAGAAGCTGGTGCTGCCCCAGACCGCCCCCTCTCCCTCCATCAGTCCCACATCCCCCTCCCCCCTCCCTCTCTCCCACATCCCCCTCCCCCCCTCTCTCCCACATCCCCCTTCCTCTCCCTCTCCTCCCCCTCCCTCCCCTCCCCCCTCCCTCATCCCTCTCCCTCCCTTCCACATCCTCCTCCCCCTTCCTCCCTCCCACATCCCCCTTCCCCCTCCCTCCCGTCCCCCTCCTCCCCTCCCCCTCCCTCTCCTGCCCCCCCTCTCTCCCACATCCCCCTTCCTCCCTTCCACACCTTCCTCCTCCTCCCTCCCCTGCCCCCTCCCTCCCGGGGCCAGTTGCAGCTGCCCTCAAGGGGTTTACATTGCAGCAGGGGTGGTGACAAGGGCCAGGTGCTCGGGTGGTGGGTGCTGGGGAGGAAAGTGAGGCTGGGAGCGGGGCTGCTGGGCCCAGCGGGTCACCGGGGCCTGAGGAGTGACATTGGAACCGAGACCTGAGTGGGGGGAGTGCGAGCGAGCCAGGCAGGTGAGCGGCCAGGGCCAGCGCCACTCCCCCAGCTCAGCCGCCTGGCAGGAAGGCCACTGTCCTGAAAGCAGCAATTTGCACTGATTTCCAATTTTCTTTTTTTTTCTTCTTTTTTTTGTTTTCAACGTGTTTGTATTTATTTCCTGATTTCCAATTTTCGTGGAAAACCAGCAAACAGAAATCAAAAAAGGAATAAAACACACATTAAGTCTCACCACTCAGAACACCCCTGCCCGCAGCCCGCAGCCCCTCTGCAGGGAGCTGGGTGAGGAAAGCATGAGCCAGGGCTCAGGGGCCCGGGCCCAGCCTCAGCGTGCAGGTGGGGAAACAGGTTCACGGTGGCAGCCAACTCACTTGCCCTGCAGGTGGCCAAGCCAGGTCCCAGCCTGCCTTTCTATCTCTGGGTGAGGGCCTGGGCCCTGGTGGCTGCCCACCTCCCCTGCTCCTCTGGTGGGAGGAGGCCCTGTGCTGAGCCCAGGAGGGAAGGAGGGCTCGGCTGCAGGCCCAGCCCCTCCCTTTTGCGGAGCTGAGGCAGTAACTCTCAGGTTGGCAGGTGACACTGCCCACGCGTAGGAGTTGGACCCCCCCCCCCTCCCCAGCTGCATTCACGCCCTTTCCTCTCCTAAGAGACAGTGGGTTTTAGAGAAGGTCTGGAAGGCAATGAGGAATGAGCAGACAGCCCCGGCCAGTGTGGTTCAGTGGATAGGGCGTCGGCCTGTGGACGGAAGGGTCCCAGGTTCGATTCCTGTCAAGGGCACGTACCTTGGTTGCAGGCTCCTCCCCAGGCCTGGGCCCTGGTCATGGCTCGTCGAGGAGGCAACCGATTGATGTGTGTGTCTCACATTGATCTTCCTCTCTCCCGCTTTCTCTAAAAAGCCATGGGAAAATGACCTCGGGTGAGGATTTTTAAAAAAACGAGCTAAGATGCAGAAATTTACCTGAGATCATGAACTCATTGTAGCATCAGAAGGTTCTAGAAGCAACCAGGTGGTCCCAGTGTTCAGCCAGGAGCAGCAGCCTGCCCACTCGTGTGCCCAGTGCCTCCAAGTGTGGGATGGGGCCGGGGCACCTGGGTTTGTATGGGGGGGGGTCTCCTCTGCCCGCCCACCAGAGCCTCAGTTTCCCCATCTGTAAAATGAGAGGCCGGTTCTCCCAGCCCGTTCCCCGGGCCCCTCTGTGGGGACAGGTGGTGAGAGTCACCTCTCTCCAGAGGCTCCAGGAGGAAGAGCGCCAGCGAGACGCGGACTGGGACCGGCAGAGGGTCGAGAGGGCCCGCGCCGAGGTGCTGTGCGAGCGGCAGCAGCGGCGGCAGCAGCGCGACCTGCGCAGAGCCCTGGACGGCAGCAACCGCAGCCTGGCCGCGGAGCAGCTCCGGCAGTGCGTGCTGGGGCTGGCAGGGCTGGGGTACCAGGCGGGGGGCAGGGGGGGTATGCTGACTGGCAGGGCCATGGAGCAGCTCTGTGCTTCCCTGGGCTCCTGCCCCCCACCCCACCCCCTGCCCCAGATCTCTCCCACCCAGAGGGTCCGGGGCCTTGGTGCATCGTTCACAGGAGGCCCCGTGGTGGTGGTGGTGGTGGTGGCGGCTTGGCTCTGGCACGGCCTCCTGGCGAAGAATGCCAACAGAAAGGGGGGCAGGCCCAGAGCGAAGAAGCCAGAAATTAAGGGCTTGGCAAGCACTGGTCCCCACAGACCAGGGGACTGCGATGCCATCCAGCAGGCACCAGTGGGCATCCTGCAGACACCCCTCAATGGGCTCCTCGCCTGGGCCTGGGACCCCCAGCGGCTGGCACACGGGCGCTGGTGATGGGTACTCGGAGGGCGCCAGGAGCCCCTGGGTGGGGGGAGGGAGCCTGAGACGTGGAGGAGACGGTGCCCGCCGCCCACTGCGGGGAGCGCTGCTCTGGGCACACACAGGCCCCGAGGGTGGCTCCGGGTTCCGGCTGCCCGCTGTCAGCGCCGGTCAGCAGGGAACTCTGTCCCCAAACCCACAGTGCGATTACTTGTGTGTCTGTCCACCCACCACGCTCCTGCCTGGAACTCAGAAGGGGCCACCTGTATTTCTCCAGTCAGACGTGTGGCACCTGTTTGCCTGTGGGTCCCTCTGTCACTCCTGTGACTAACGGGGCGTAAAGACATGGTCTGAAGAAGTCTGGGGCGAGCAGACGCTCCCCAGTCACGCTGTGGAGATGGGACCCTGGAACCAGGAGGGTCCGCAGTCTAGACGCTCCGCGGTGGCGAAATGCAGCGAGGCATCCTGGGACAACAAGCGGGTGGGCTCTGCCCTAGCTGGTGCTCAGTGGTTAGCGCGTCGGCCCTCAGACTGGAAGGTCACAGGTTGGATCCCCGTCCCTGTCCGGTCGGGGCGTGTGCAGGAGGCAACCAATCGGTGTGTCTCTCACATCGGTGTTTCTCTCTGTCTCTCCCCCTCCTTTCCGCTCTCTCTAAAAATCAAGGGAAAGATATTCCCGGGTGAGGATTAACAGCAAGAAGCGGGCGGCTCTCCGCGATATCACAGAAAGGCAGGCGAGGGCGCCAGGCCTTTGCTGACGGCTTCTCCTCGTTTTATGATCAGGAGAAACTACATGAAGGAAGTCTGTACCAACCACGCCACGGACGACTACTTCACGCAGTTCAACACCAGGAGTCGATGAGAAGGACACCCCTCCCCGCCCCCGCCCCCCCGCCCCGTCATTCATGTATAAACGCCGTCGCCTGGAAGAGTCACATTTATTCAAAAAATACACTCGCCCTGCCGGAGGCTCGCTTGGCTGGAGGGTGGTCTCGTACCCCAAAAGGTTGCAGGTGTGACTAACGGTCAGGGCATACACCTAGGTTGAGGGTTCGACCCCCGATCAATGCTTCTCGTTGTTTTTCTCTCTCTCAAAAATAAAAGACACACACACAAATCCTCAGGGGGGATTAACAAACAAACCCTACTTGGCCCACAAGTCCCCTAACTTCACCTCCACTGTGGACCAAGCATCTGCTACCCTCCCCCCGCGTTTCCCCAGGAGCGGGAGCTCGGGGCAGTGCGGCTCAGAGCATCCAGAGGGGCGCTGTGGAGCCGGGGACGGGTGGGTGTGGCCCCCAGGACCATCGAGAGAGAGAGAGAGAGAGAGAGAGAGAGAGAGAGAGAGAGAGAGAGAGAGAGAGAGAGAGATGGCATTGGCCTCAGGGCTCCCGCTCGGCCGCTGCAGAGCCAGCACTCAGCCGCCTGCATCGCGTGCAGGCCCGCTCGCTGGGGAACCGGCTCCCTGGGGAACCGAGGCCGCCAGGCCCCCCCGCAGCCAGGGGTGGGACTCGACTCCTCACGCCCCCCAGGGGCGCAGCCTGAGACGCATGTTGAGTGAGTGGCCAAGCTCACGCCTTGGGCAGTGGGACCTGGGGTGGAGCCCAGGGAGTCTGCTTCCGCCCCCCACACCCCACCCCACTCCGCTGGCTCCTGGGAACAGACCCCAAACAGGAGTGGCTTCAGCAAAACAAGTTTATTGTTTTTGTAAAATCCCAAGGTGAGCGGTGCCACCCAGGAAGGCCCCAGCTGCCACCGTCAGGCCACACTGGGGCAGCCGGGAGGAGGAAAGGGGTCCGCGTGCTCCCCGCTGGAGGCCTGGCAGGAAAGCGTGTCCCCTCCGCTCCCATCCACCGGCAGGCGTTCAGCCACGTGACCAGCCCCGCTGCATGGAGGCTGGGAGACCAGCTGGCCAGCCTGCGGCTGGGCACTGATTCTATAATGGGGTGAAAGATGGACGAATACATACCAGGGGACAGCTAGCCACGGGCTAGCCTTGGAGAGCGACCTGGAATTTGCCAGGGGGAGGTGAGGGAGGTGCTTTGCGCTGGCAGGGGGCGGGGGGGGTGTGTCTGCATAATGGGGCCTCCAGCTCGCAGGCCCAGGATGACTGGGTTCCGCCCAGGCACACCTCTCCTGCACGGGGGTTTCTTGAGGGGCCGGACGCACAGGGCTGGGGACAAGCGGCAGTTGTTGGCGGCAGCTTATCATTAGCCACGACGGCCGGACAGGCCAGTGCTCGCCACCCAGCTCCCCCCTCGCTGTCTAAACGCAGCTCGCGTCCTGCCCCTGCTCACACCCGGGCACTGGCCAATGTTACCCAGCCCGAGGACTGGCATTCTGGGGGGGGCTGGGCTCCAGGCGCGCACAGGCCCTGGGGTCTGAGGGAGAAGTGACTGGACGTCCGCTGTGGTTGGCATGGGGAGGGCCTGGGGCAGCGCAGGGTGGAGTGGAGGGGGGCCTGTGGCCGTGGCCTGAGAGCCAGGCAGGGCCAGATCCAGGAGGCGGAGGACTTTAACCGAGAGCTCGTAGCCAGGGAGTAACGGTGGGCTGTGCCGTTTCGGAAACGGAAAGGCTCGAGAGAGGCCGACTCTGAAGACGGACCTCACCGCCTCCCTCCCAAGCCAGGCCCACAGGGTTCCCAGAGGCAAAGCATTTGGTCAGGTGACCAGCTGGGCGGGGCTCGCACCCAGAGTTAACCCCCAGCTTGAGATGGGGCGGCCTCGATGCTCCAGCTAAAACAGGGCTCTCCATGTTACGCGGGAACAGGCAAGTGGATTCCTTAGCGTCTGATGCGCGTGGGGCAGACGACCTCGGTTAATCTGGCACCATGAGGACTCGGAGCAGGGCCTGCCCTGTCGGACAGGCGAGGGGAGGGCGCTGGCGACCGGGTGACTCCCAGGATGCCCACGGAGCTGTGTCTGCCACCTGCAGGGCGCGCAGCTCCCTGGCCACCCTGACACGCATCCATCCACTGCGGACGCACTTCCTGCTGCTGCCCGTCCTGCGGTCCCTGCTTCCTGAGCAGCCACGGCCTGTTCTGGACGTCAGCAGCGGCGAGCACACTCCCTCTGGGGAAGCCGGTGCGGGTGTACCAGTTCCTGGGGCTGCCATGACAGAGCCACAAGCTGGGGGTTTGCAGGTGCTCACGGTCTGGAGGCCAGAATCCTCTGAGAGCTCTGCAGGAAGCTGCCTCCCCCCCCCCACCCCGCACCCTGATCTTTGGGGTTCGCTGGCTTCAGCTCCCATCTCTGCCCCGTCTCCACGCGGCTTCTCCCTGTGTGCCAGTCTGTGTCCAAACCTCCCCTTTCTGTAAGGACACCAGGCCTATTCGATTAGGAGCCCGAGTGGCCTGCACTGACCGTTTCCCAATACGGTCACAGGCTGAGGTGCTGGAGGTCAGGACGCGGTCATATCTTTTGGAGGAACACGATGCAGCCCACAAAGGGGGGACCCAGCGGGGCAACTGGCTCCACTGCCTCCCAGATGACCCCATTAGGAGCACAGGTGCTGCGGCTGGGTAAGTCAGCTGTGGGGAGCGCAGGGGTGCAGTGAAGCCCCCCGCATTGGGCAGGGACGGGAGGGGGGTTTCGAGGCGAGGTCCGCTCATTCAGGGCACGCTGATGCTCTTCACGTCCTGGAAGCTTTGCCAGGACCCCCACCTGTCGCAGGAGACACGGACGGACATATAAGCAGGTACAGAAGGCAAGGGCGTGAGGTGGGGTCACACACAGGCGATGGGCGCAGGTGAGAGGGAGGCAGAGCTCGAGGCCGCTGCGGGCGCCGGTAACACGCGGGCCGGTGTGGCCAGGCTGGCTTTACCTCGGAGCTGTGCATCGTTATAAAACAGCGGTTCTCAACCTTCCTAACGCCGCGACCCTTTAATACAGCTCCTCATGCTGTGGTGACCCCCAATTTCATTGTTACAAATTGAACATCATTAAAGCATTGTGATTAATCACAAAAATAATGTGTAATTACATATGTATTTTCCGATGGTCTTAGGCGACCCCTGTGAAAGGGTTGTTCGACCCCCAAAGGGGTCGCGACCCACAGGTTGAGAACCGCTGTTATAAAAGGTTCCCACAGGAAAGCCAGGCTTGAACACTTTGGACATCGGCCTGCTGTGAGTGCGCCCCCTGCTGGTAACCAGTGGCGGGTTCTGGCGACACCGGTGAGAGCCAGCGTCCAGGCGTGTCGCCCTCCCCACTCCTCTCCCCTGGACGGCCCGTTACCGTGTGACACAGACACACACAGCCCAGAGGCTCCGTTTTGTTGTGTTTCACTTTTTTTTACATTTGATTACAAAACATTTCAATCATGCAGGAAAGCGGGAAGAATCGTACAGCCTGCATCCAAACACCCACCACCTAGATTGTACAGTTAATACTGGCTTCATTGCTTATCTGGGCAGACGGGCTCTTTGAAATTCCAGGCGTGGGCTGCTTACAAAAGAGACGCCCACACAAAGCTGCACGAGACACGTGGTCGGGAGGTACCCTCCTTCCACAGGTGAGGAGGCTGCAGGGGAGCCGTCCCCGCTTGCCCAGGTCACACGGCTGGCGGTGGGGAGTGGTTTACAGGGAGAGAGCCTGAACCCAAAGCCCTGCTTGTCCCCCCTTACCCTCCAGTGAGCCCCCCACAACCCCACGAGCCCCCCCATTGCAGGAACCAGAAACATGTACCTGAACCCAAAGTGTACACAGTACAACCCTATGTGTGCCAAACCGAAGTGTTTGCTGGGACGGGGTGGTGGGGGCTGACTGCAAAGGAGCATGAGGTAACTCGTGTGGGCTGGTAGGAATGTTCAGGAAAAAACACAGATGCGCCCTGACCGGTTTGGCTCAGTGGATGGAGCGTTGGCCTGCGGACTGAAGGGTCCCAGGTTCGATTCCGGTCAAGGGCATGTACCTCGGTTGCGGGCACATCCCCAGTAGGGGGTGTGCAGGAGGCAGCTGATCGATGTTTCTAACTCTCTATCCCTCCCCCTTCCTCTCTGTAAAAAAATCAATAAAATAATTAAAAACAAAACACAGATGCTCCCATCCTCCCCCTCCCACCCCGGTGTCCTGACAGCAAAGGGCCGGGCCCTAACACACCTGCAACCAGAAAGTGTCGCTGCCTGCTGTGCCCTTGTCTACCAGCAGGTGGCGTCTCCGCCTCGTGTGCATCCGCCTCTGCAGGCTCCAGCGTTGGCCATCCTGCTTGCACGTGCACCTCCGGGCTCTCCAGGCAGGTAGGAGGCCTGCGTGGAGGAGGCTGTAGCTGCTGCGAGGGCCACCCGAGTGCTCCTGCAGCGAGGCGGCCGGGCCCACGCTTCTCTCGTGGTCGCGGGTGGGGACGCCGGGTGGGGTGGGGTGGAGTGGGGTGGGGGGAATGGAGCGGAGCCTCCAGAGTGCATTTTCCGGAAGAACATCTCCCCCAACTTGTCACTGTGTCGGGTCCTGAAAGACAGTGGTGAGAGACGCTGGGGGAGCCGAGTGAGGGTGAGGGAGAAGCAGCGGGGGGACCGCCCCTGGGCTCACCCCACCCACAGAGGCCCAGGCCTGCCCCAGCCCTTGTCCACCCGTCCCCAGGTTCATGCTGCCCCCTCTCTGAAACCTGGCCACCCCTCTGCCCAGAGCTGCACGGCCCGTGTCACATCCTGTGCCTGGTGGGCCCGCCTGCCGTATCTTTTGCCAAATGCAGGAGAGCCGACCTGAGCACAGAGGAGGGCGCGATGGGCGCGCGGGCAGCTGGAACGCCGCCATTCGGTGGGTCTTTTCGTCTGGCCATCGGGGAAGCTTTCCACCCGCGTCCGCTGTAACAGTGCCAGAGAGGCCCCACCGCCACCCAACACTGTGGGGCTGGACCAGCCCAAAGCCCCTTGGAGAAGGCCTGGCCGGGCCTCCCCTCCAATGGACGAATCACTCCAAGTTCCCAGGGGGCTCGGGGGCTCAACAAACGCACCTTTGCTGCCTGTTGCCCAGCTGGACCGCACAGGCCTGGGGACAGGACTGGCCGCCAGTGGGCCTTCCTGAGTCAGGCCGGGCCCCAGCCGGCCACCAGTACGTCTCTCACTCACGGTCACGCTGTCCTTGGCTTGCTCAGCTTGTAAGGCAGTGATGGCGAACCTTTTGAGCTCGGCGTGTCAGCATTTTGAAAAACTCTTAACTCTGGTGCTATGTCACATATAGAAATTTTTTTATCTTTGCAACCATAGTAAAACAAAGACTTATATTTTTGATATTTATTTTACATATCTAAATGCCATTTAACAAAGAAAAATCAACCAAAAAAATGAGTTCGCGTGTCACCTCTGACACGTCATAGGTTCGCCATCACTGTTGTAAGTGGCTTGTGTCCCCCTCACATCGATGTTTCTCTCTGTCTTTCCCTCTCTCTTCCACTCTCCCTAAAAATCAATGGAAACATGCCCTCGGGTGAGGGTTAGTGAAAGGGGGTGGCCCACAACAACAACCAGCGCGCCCAGCGAAATCTCAGGCACCTGTGGCCGCAGCTCCCTGAGCCCAGCACAACCGGACTCAGCAGGTTCGTATGTGACTAAACCCCTGGGCTCTATAATGTGTTGTCGCCCATCTCACTCCCCAGATGAGGACCTGAGACGCAGACAACAGAACTACCTTTCCCAGGAGCTGGAGCCGCAGCCGGAGCTGGTCCACCCGGTTCAGAGGGACCCAGGGCATCCAGACAGCAAGGGGGCCGAGGCCCCGGGGCCTGACCTGCGAGGGGCCCAGTTTCCCGGGACCTACAAGGGGGGCCAAGTCCTCTGGGACCCGTTCTTGTGATGACGGAGGAGCTGCCAGGGAAAGTGCCCTGGGCCATGCCAGTCCAGGCCTCCCGGGGCCTTTACTGGACCCAGCAGGCCAGCCAGCCCAGGAGCGGGGCAGGATGGGATCCCTGTCGATTCCTTGGGGGCCGCTCAGAGGAGCTGTGTGGGAGATGTGGAAAGAGCATCGGTGTTGGGATCCGGGCTTCCTGCAGTGGAATGAGCTGCACATGGTCCCGTCTCTCTGCCTCCTCTCCAGGCCCCCCTCCCTCCAGCCATGCCTGGCACAGCCACGAACTCCCTGAGGTCCGGGAGGGCCCGGGAGGCTCCTGGGGCTGGACTGTGGGGACCTGATGGAGACCTGCTGCCTGTCCGCCCTGTGTGGTCCTCATGCCCGGGTGGGGGCCAGGGCTGCAGAGGGAAGAGAAGGGCCCGGGAGGACGAAGGGGAGGGCTTGCACCGTCACACCCGGGCTCGGCCGGCAGCCCTTCCCAGGGCTTCAGACAGGGCTCTCTGCCTGTAAGTGGGATCATGACCCTGCCCTGCCCCTCAGGGTTACCGAAAGGAGTGAGTGGGTGCTCACCCCACCCACCCCTGGCCCACCTCGGCTCGCAGGACTCAGGGATGGTGGGTAAGCGGGCGTGGTCACTTTCTGGGGCTCTGCCTGTCACTAGCTGTGAACCCCTGGGGATAATGACCCGCGTTTCCCAAAGCCGCATTTCCATGTCTATGATCGGGGTAATAAGTACATTCTCACCCCAGAATTATGAGAGTTAAATGAGATAATTTGTTGAAGTGCTTGGCATAGAAGATGATCTTCCTAGATGTCAGCTATTAATGTGCAAAAAATGCACCTTCGGGCCACCCAGGACTCCCGAGGGGAGAGCACTGCACCACAATGTTCTCCGAGAGGGCCCTGGACCCTGGCCCAGGGGAGGGTAGCGCGCTCTGCCCGTCGCAGCTCAGAGCAGCAGTTCTGCGTGGCCATCTCCATTTCTGCCTCGGAGAAGCGCCTTCCCCTGCAATAAGCCGTGGACCTTTGGAAGGAAATGTCAAACGAGAAAACCCAGCGTGTTCTCGCTCGTGACCTTCAGCTGTTTTTATTTTTTTCAGTCCACAAACCCTGGGTGAGCACCATCTGTGTGCCTGGCTGGGCGTGGGGTCTGGGGACGGTGGGAGGGATGCCCGGGTCTTTGTCCCTAAGGCTTTCGCCACCAGAAGGCCCCGGACCGTCCGATGACAAGTTCCGATGAAACGTACCAAGCGGCTGGCTCCCCTCCCCTCAGAAAGGCCCTGGGCCGCGGCTCTCCGGGGGAGCGGCCAGCAGCCATTTCTTGGAATCGAAACTGTCTGAGCGGCTGCAGTCCCTCAGAGGAGCTTGTTTTCTTTCTCCGGGGAAGCCAAGGTTTTAATGCTCCATCTGGGTGAGGACCTCGCGGTAATAAGAACCAAATGTTGTCGGGGAAATGACTGGAAACGACACCGAGGAGGAGAATGTGGGGTTTTGAATTGCCTCATGGAAGGCAGGGCTGAGAAGCAAACACACAAGACGTCCTGCCTATAAATCTCCCCAGGATGTTGCAACACTCCGTCTCCTGCTGCGGCCCCTCTCCAGGCCCCTCCCCCCCCCCCTCTCCGGGCCCCTCTCCACCTCTCCCCACCCCCCTCCCCACCCCCCTCTCCGGGCCCCTCTCCACCTCTCCCCACCCCCCTCTCCACCCCCCTCTCCGGGCCCCTCTCCACCCTCCCCACCCCTCTCCCCACCCCCTCTCCAGGCCCCTCTCCAGGCCCCTCTCCAGGCCCCTCTCCAGGTCCCTCCCCACCCCCCTCCCCACCCCCCTCTCCAGGCCCCTCTCCAGGCCCCTCTCCGGGCCCCTCTCCACCCCCCTCCCCACCCCCCTCTCCAGGCCCCTCTCCCCATCCCCCTCTCCAGGCCCCTCTCCGGGCCCCTCTCCAGGCACCCGGAGCCTGGGATGGAGCAGCCTGGGACAGCGGCCCCAGCGGCAGCGACTACCCCACAGCCCCAAGAGACCGCCAGCCCACTCCTCCGTGCGCCCCTCCTCCTGCTGCTGGAATCCCCACCTGGATGTCCCACAGGCATCGCGGACTCAACGTGTTCAAACTGCTCTCATCATCTCCCCCAAACCCGCGCTCTCCCCGCACATTCCACGGTGATGAAAGGCACCACCTGGCCCCGGGCGAGCGGACACCTGGGAGCCATTCCCGGCTCCCCCGCCCCGCCGCCCATGTCAGTCAAGTGCGGGCCCTTCTTCCTTCGATTGGGTTCTAACCCGCGTGCCCGGCCCCTGTCCCGGTTCTGGGTCCTCCTCGGAGTCTGGTCACTTGTGGTGCCCTCCTGCCGCCCGCCCTGGACCGCCTGCTCCCCGCCCTCCAGCCGGGGCGGCCTCGGGAGACCCCAGCGCCCCTGGCTGCGGCCTGCTTGGGATCTGAGTTGGAACCCAAGTCCATCGGTTTCTCCACTGAACTCCACCAAGAAAACGCAAACAACAACAATCTAAACGCAATCGAGGGTCCAAAGGAGTGACCTTCCCGGGCCTGCCCGCCACCAGGGCACTCTCGGTGGCACTGTGCCCCTCCCTCCTGTCCACCACCTCCGGGTAATGAAACTGAGGAGGGGGCAAGGCATGGAGGTGACTCAGACGCAGTCCCTGCCCAGGGGGCTCTGAGGGTGGGTAGTTAGTAATGACCAAAGGGAAAGTTACCAGAAGGAGGGGCGGAAGAGGGGCAGGGCCAGCCAGAGAAGAACCCTGAGCCCTGAGGAGGCCCCAGGTTGGGCGGGTGCCATGGGCTGGGGACATGGGCAGAGCCCAGAGCTGGGCGTTAGACCCATACAGCAGGCCCCAGGCTCTCCCACACCCCCTTTCCAAAGAGCGGCCTTTTGCTTGGGCTTTGCGTTGGGAATCTGGACAGGGGGACAGGGACACCCTGAGCCCACCCCCTCACCTGGGGTGGCGCTTGGCCAGGGCCTCTCCGGGCTGCGGGCGGCGCTGGGAGGCCCGCCTGGGGCGGCCCGGGGACCCTGATGAATAACAGATTTGTGTCCATTTGCTTTGCCCCACTTTGCTCTTAGAAGGCCGCCAGGAAATAAATATTTGCTGGGTGAATGCAGACTCCCCTTTCCCTCTCACAGCTCCCAGCAACCTGCCCCAGGCGCCCAAGGGCTGCGCAAACCAGCGCTCAGCGGGTGTCACCCTCCTAGAACCGCAGCGGCAGGCCTGGCTGCGTCCCGCTCTGTCCCGGAATCCCCACGCCCGGGAGCTGCACGCCGGGTTGCGCCCTGTGGGTGAGAGGCCCCGTTCAGCTTGGCACCCGCCCAGGGTCCCGCCGGTCAGCGGGGACCAGGCAGTCCAGGCCGAGCGCGTGTGAGTCCCGTGCAGGCTCCACACGGGGAGTGTGCGCTGCTCGTCCTCTCCCAGCGCTGCAGGCCCCGACCTCAGCCCCTCCGGCAGCCTGCGGGCCCCTGGGACAGACACTGCACAAGGTCACACGGCCCGGCACAAGGTCAGGACTCGCGGGCGCTCTGCAGACTTATGCTGAAAGCTAGGAGCGCACCATTTACACAGATCCCAGCCGCCTCCGCCACCGACGGCTCCCGCCCCACCGACAGCTGCCCTCGCCGACACCAAAGACCCGGGGGCGGCTGTAAAGGGATACCTGGGAGGAGAAGTCCTGGCTCTCCTCTCGTTTTACTATAAATGGAGCCCTCACCCTTCCCAAAAGCTCCCGCTGCAGCTGCTCCCACTCCTTGGGCAATAATTTGTTGAACGCCCACGACACCCTTGGACGTTTCCGAGAAGTCATGATAAATGACGTGGGTTTTGTGGGGGGAAGGCAGGCGTGGGCGCTGGGCACGGGCGGGTCACCTGGGAGCCCCCACCCCCACTCCCCACCCTCCACCCCCGCCCAGAGGAGCGGGTCCTGCCGCCCCAGCTGAGTGGGCCCCTGGGGAGGGAGCGCGTAATTGGTTCTGCATGGCGCTGTGCTGGTTTATGTCCACATCGCAGGAAAGAATTCGGTGGGAGGCCCACAGTCGGAGACCACGTGGCCGACTCCCCACGGACGCCCCCCCCCCAAACCTGTTCCCAATTAGGCGCTTGCAGGAACTCCGGGCTGCTTCCTCTGACCAGATCCTGCCTCTCCCATTGTGGAGCCCTGCTCGCCTTTCCTTTTCAAAACGCACACGGAGAGAGGTCCTTGGAGGCGGGAGAAGGGAGAGCTGCCCCGGCCGCTGGCGGGACCGGGCGGGAAGGGCTGGGAAACGCGAAGCACGTCCCTCCGCACCCACCGGCCGTGGCGCCAGGCGCCCGGGTTTATGGGGCCGCCACTCCCGCAGCCGGACGCCTCCAGACGGGCTGGCCACCTGGATTCGAG